GTGATTATTGGCTGCACGTGGTCTTCAGTGTTATGAATCCAGCCCAGCCGACAGTTATATTCAGGAGTAAATAACAGGGAGCGACTAAATAATAAAGTAAAGTAAATACGTTAGTATAATATGTATACTCCTGATTTATGGCATATACTGATGACTATCCCTATTTTATTGTATACTTCTCTCTATAATATCAGGCAGAATAGATAATAGAAGCATCTTTCTATTATCCTACTGCCGCACTAATATGCTATTACAGCGCGTTGCCTAGGCCATGACAAATGTAGCTGCGGCCTAATATCCCCCGCCGGTCTCCCTGATAACGGTCAAATGCATCTAAGTATTATAATAGCACGACCATGGTTGAGTTAGGCAACTATACTGCATGTTACTGCTTGATCAAGATGATGCATTTTGGCATAAAAAAAACAATTGTTGAGATTAAAACTGGCAGAGCTTGTTTTTTAAAATTAATTCTAAGCTGCTATCCGATTCTGCATATTGTAGATTGGCCTCACTATATTTAAAGGTATATTTACAATCTTCCCAACTCATTTTCGCTGACCCTGTCGGAAGAATGTTATTTCAAAGCTGCGTGCCGCGTCGGCCCAACACCAGACCGACCGATTACCGCCGCGCCGACCCGGCCGCTAGGCCTACCAACGGTTGGTTATTACCGCCTTGTTGCCTACGCCATCTCCTTATCCACACCTGCGCATCTGTACACTCGGCCATTATGGTACAAGCTGTGCGGTGCCTCCCATTGCCCGTCTGCCCCGATACTGAAGATTTAGCATTAAACTTAAATCTTGCTGTTTATCATACTTTATGTGGCTTTTAAAAAAAAATCGTTAACAACTATCATTACCCATTTTTAAACTATACGTATGAAGTAAATGTAAGCGCCTAAATTTTATATTAATAAATTGAAGCCTAATATACTATATCTACTACTACTATATATTATATAATATATATATATATACTATATATTATACTATATATAAGCCTTATATTATTATAAATTTGATTTATTTAACAAATGTTCAACATTTTTACTTGTTCCAATATTATTATGTTATATCTCTCTCTTTCTCTCTCTCATTTTTTTTCTCTCTCTCTTTCTCTCTCTCATTTTTTTTCTCTCTCTCTCTCTCTCTCTCTCCCCTCTCTCTCTCTCTCTCTCTCTGCCTACTATCAGCTATAAGAAAACATCTATTGCGGCGAGATGTTCACTGGGTTGCCGCGCTTTCTACACGACGCGACGTCTTACGTTAACCGCCAAGCGACGAAACCTTGCAAGACGGTCAGGAACAGTGGATTAAACAGGCGTTTACATGTAAGCATGTGACACATGACACATGCACACATGACGCATGACACGCACGCACAGCACGCACGAAATGCCACACCCCCCGCTGGCCAGGGGACTAAATCACTGGTACAAAACTTGCTCAAGAACGTCGTGACATGTCGTTGACTGCCATTACACCGAGCTGCCTGCCTCACGTGCATATAAAAGGGCCAGCTACCCCCGCGACACCGCGCTCACCTCGGACGAAATACTGTTCTCACCGCGTAACGCTTGCTTAGTACATGTTGAAGCACGAGAAGCAGAGAGCCAGCGGGCGGACTGAGCAGCTAGACGCCAAGCACAAGGTAAGCCTGTAGTTAGTTACTTACACGCACAACACACACACCACACCACACACACACACACACACACCACACACACACACACAGCGCGCCACGCCACCACGCCACGCGCCCTCACAGCGCCACGCACAGCGCACGCGCTCACGCACGCGCCACGCGCACACGCACACGCCACACGCACCACGCACACGCCACACGCACCGACGCACACGCACACGCCACACGCCACACCGCCACACGCACACGCAACCACGCACACGCACACGCACACCGCACCACGCACACGCACACGCACACGCACACGCACACGCACACGCACGATGGCAACACGCACGCACACGCCACACCGCACGACACGCGCACCATGCACACACACCCATATACACAGGCGCCACACCCACACCCACACGCTCACCCGCCGCATGGCCACGATGCATACCACACACACACACACAACACACACACACAGCACACACACACACACACACACACACACCACACAACACACGCACCACGCACACGCACGCGCCACACGCACGCGCCACACGCACACGCGCACCCAGCAACAATACAACCTACACCACAAGCACGTACACATCACACACAAACACACACCACACACACAACACACACACACAGCACACACACACACACACACACACACACACACACACACACACACTAGAGCAGAGATGGAATTCTGTCTGAAGGAAATGTAAATATGAATTAGTCATGTTGGTTCGGCTAGATTTAATTTAAGTGAGAAGCAGAATGATAATGATAGTAGTAGTTACTATAATACTATACACTAACTATAGATACTTGATTCTATGAAAGTAAATCCATATCTGACACACTACCCTAACCACACAAAGCGTTCAACAGATGCATCTCACTACCATCATGAACACATCATCACTAGAAGTGTATAAATATGTTCGTGCTATTATGTAAAGGCCTCTTACATACAAAAACTCTCGTTATTATAAAAGCTCATAGCAAGTTTATACGCAGATTCGTTGAATTCGCATCTAAAGCGCGTGAGCTACGTGCCACGCTAAGTATTTTCTGTCACAAATCTTGTCAACTTTTTTGTTTGCAAGAATACACGTAACACTACGCATGCTCTCAGTAACACATGGTGGTGTTACACACAAACATGCACAACTTAGTAGAGATACTACTATTAGAGTAAGACGACACACGATGTATTATGTGGCGTATATTCATTTACAGGCAAACTTATACAACTTCAACCACAGACGCAGCCGAGTGCAGCCGAATATACCCGAGTGCAGACGAGTGCAGCCTAGTAGAGAACTCAACTATAAACAACGACAGACTAACATGAATTCTCCAGGATTAAAATGGAGTGCGCTTGGCAAAGTGCTATTGGTAGGAATTCATTCCAAGGCTACCGCTGGCGTTCGCCACCTTAGCAAAATGCGATAAATAAATAACAATGGCAATTTTACTACACTAAGTGGCGAATACAATTGGCGAATGATTTAACCGCTCACAAAATTACGATTGAATAATGAAATCGTCAAATTGCAGTGTCGTGTAAACAAATTCCGTAACCTACTCATTTGGTGCAACTACCGTGCAACGACGCAGCAACTTAGTTTTGTGTACATTAAGCAACATTATTATAATTTTTACTTGAATACTTTATTAAAAAGGTTTTCGTACACCTCTTTTCCTATACCCATCATCTGTTTATGCCTTGCTTAGCACATACGATGAAGTTATCAGTGGCTATGGTTGCTAACACAAACTTTGGTGGCTCAAGTCTTGGCTCAAACTTTAAAACATCCAGAGGGAGTCCTGCATTCCCTACAAACATAGCGATAGATTCTTGTTGCCATGCCAACCGTGAGACCTCAGGAAACCAATATAATAACACATCTATAATAGCGACCGTAGAAAGGAGATCGGTGAACGCAGAGCGGAGGTGTTCTGCGATTTGACGATGTTCCGTAAATACGGTAATACGTTTTTTTCTGACGTCAAGAAATGCCGTCGCACTATCACTTCATTAACGGATCGCGCCACGAACGAAGTGCTTATTTATCCCATTTCTCTATCGGCGAGCGCGCATCGCCGCTGTATTTTGTGTTTTTCGAAAAGGTACCGTAAGAGTATGGGGTCACCCGCGCGCGAATGCCTTCATCCTAACCGTGCTTTGACCGTAGTGAAAATAACCGAATCTAATACCCCGCGAATCTCGTGCGTGCGCCCGAATACAGAGTTTACGTTAAGACATCCTCCTCCTCTGATTCACAGGTGGCGACACTAGTACTGCTCGCAGTGACCTCTCTGTCATGCCGCAGCACGACCGCCAGGATCCACGGTGCCGAGAGCGAAAGCGACAGCTCCGCAACCTGTTCTGCGCATACGCGAATAACTTCATAAGCAGTCATCATAAACGCATGTGCTCAGGCGCTGTATGGCGAAAGCGACGCAAGCGGCACCTATTCCGAAAATTACGTCGCGCGCAGCGTGTAGATATGTGCTCTACAAATGCCTGAACACCGCCTCCCGACAAACCATGTTCCCCTGTTACAGCACAATCCCTTGAACAGCCCAGCTTGACGCGTTTTCAATGAAATATTTTCGACTTTGGTATAGTAAAGAGCATTTCGTATTTATTTAACATTATATTTTAATTGAAACGCCTCCAACTGCCCGTGCGCGTTACAGACCGGGCGACGATATTGATAGTAGGTTGCGTGCGAGAACGCGCGGGGGCGACGCGCATGGCGCACGCGACGCCGCCGGTTCGACTAACCCGCAGATTTATCGTCGCTCGCTGCCGTCGAGACATTCTCCTGCGCTAACTTACCGCAAATAGTTCATTTCACACTAAATAAAGAGAGAGAGAGAGACCAGAGGAAGCGCGATTAGCGATAGGCGCGCGGCGAGCAGAGAGAGAGAGACGAGCAGAGACGAGAGAGAGAGAGAGAGAGAGGACGGGCCAGAGCGAGAGAGAGATACAGAGAGGAGGGAGAGAGAGAGCGACAACGGAGGGAGAGAATGAGAGGAGAAGCACCGACAGAGGAGAGGTTAGACGACGCAGAGAGAGGGCAAGAAGAGGGGAGGGACGGAGTAGGAGGACCGGCGGTAAAGAAACGGAAAGGAGGGGAGGACGAGACGACGCGCCATGGGAATCGGGAGGGCGACGCGCAGACGAATGGAGAGGAACACGAGAAAGAGAAGGGATAGAAGAAAGACGAACGGAGAGAAAGAAGACCGGAGAAGAGAGAAGAGAAGACGAGGCGAGAGAAAGAAGAAAGCAGAAGAAAGGAGGCATGGCGCGGAGGGCGAAGTGAAATCAAGGCCGGGTGACTGGCGGCAGTGTTACGGAGTGGCGCAAATAGAATGGACGTACAGCGGTGTGGACGACTTTGACCGATGACAATGGACGATGCACGATAGTTGACGCCGAAGAATCGGATCACAAGAGTCGGTCTATTAGATGGTCACTTGGACGCACATGAGCTATTGCTAACTCTAAGCGGCTCGGTGCGAGGGAGGGGAGTTGAATAGGGCGGAGTACCGACTTAGGCGGCATCTTGATATATTTTCGGCATTACGTGTTAGCCTAGGTTACACGTGAGGATCATCAGTTTAATATTAGCGTTGCATATGAGTATTTCTGCTGCCTATACACCAACCATAGGCTCCCTATAACCGTGTTATGTTTTTAAGTGGCGTGAAGAAGA